AACCAAATTACACCTACTCAAGTGACAGATTCCATCACTTCCAGCTTGCCTTGAATTAGGTTTTCTTCCCCATACTCACAGGCTACAGCACAGAGCTATGACATTTGGAAAATACTTACAAGAATTCTCATCTGGAGATCAGAGAGTCTCCGAGTTTAGCACAAAATGGTGGGGTGGTATAAGCTAGACAGGTGCATTTTTTCTACCTTTTTATGCTGATAAATAGAAATACATACAATAGAAGGAGGGCTTAGAAGGTACAAACCAAATTTATGCCTTTCAAATACGTGTCAAACTGTAGCATCATCCCTTGCTTAACAAAACTAAACTGGATTTTAATAATTCTGTAGACTGAATTTATTCAGTCATCAAATGCTCTCTATTTGTTTTTGTTCTTCCTCTTTACTGGACTACTTCAATTTGCTGATGCTTTCCAAGCAGGAAGGTGCCTGCAGTGGGACAGTATACTTAGAACTGAAATATTAAGTCATGCAGAGGACTTGGTGACCATGAACTTCCTGAGCTAATGCTGAACAACCTACACTAAAACCAAGCGGTAGCTGAGCTGTTCCTGCCTCATTTGCATAGTTTACATGTAATCTTGCAGCATTGAACACTGATTAGAAGATTTCAAAGTAGCAGGATAAGCCTTAGGAAGTGATACGCCCAAATGCTAGCATAAGCAGAATGTGATTTGCAATATGCCCTCATGTTTAAAATACTCAGCTCACTATTTCTGAATACTACTTGTATTTAGATCTAGTAGTACTCTACATGCTACACTAAGCATATTGCTACTCTTTCTCATTTCATGCAGGAAGGTCAGCCTAGGTGCATTTTAATGAAGCAGGTCCAATTAGTTATTCAGAAATAGATCCTGACTCTTCCCATCTTTAACATTATCCTCTCAGATGCAACCTCAATGCTCAAAACAAGCTGCGACAGGAGGGCCTATCCAGTAGCAGCAAAGGTCATATGTTTGCAAGTATAACCCATTACAAATGCTTTGGATACTTAATGCTCTGAGCAGTGTAAACCTAAAACCTGCACCTAGTAGGCTAAGATGGTCATCTGATCTGCCAGCACTACCTGCCGTGTTGATTTGGCTTGCAAATTTTGTCTGGGGCTGAGATGTCAATTGCTGCCTGTCTCAAGCTCCTGAGAGCTTTAATATTTACACTTTCACAAGTAGAAATATAGTATAGGTATGCTTTTTTGTGTGCTATCTTTGGTGGTGAAGTTGGCAGATACAATGCTTGTGTCAGGAAGAGTGCAGTTGGAAGGATCCAAAAATCCTCTTTCTCATATGCCTATTAATATGATAAGGTGATCTATAGCACCCTTTACATTCAGGGAGTAAAGTCTCTCTTTCTCAAGCAGAGACTTCCCGCCAATATTTGATGGTACGGGCAGCAAAGGAACCAAAACAAACTGACACTCTCACTTCCGTTTATAACTTTACTTAGTTCAGTTCAGGTCCTGGAGGTTATCATTGTCATTATTGTTACTTGAGTCTGCTTAGTCCCCAAGCAAAAGTTGACCCACGCATATTTTATGAGATGGTTCTTGACAGATGAGCTTACAATCACAAGACATATGAAGTATGGGAGGCAGAAAGTCCCACTTTACACATGAGCAAGTATGGCAGAAAAATGGTAAGTGATTTGTTCCTGGATAAGCAGCTGGGATATTAATGCAAGTGCTTTCCCCTCAATAGTACCTTTACAAAACAAGGTACACATGGTATTCCTAAAATCATGCACTCAGCACTTCATACTAATATGGAATGTCATCAGTCCACATAACCAGCTTAACCACAAGAAATTGTCATGGATTATCCCACTCAGAAGAGGAAAAAAGAAAAAAAAAAAAAAAAAGAAAACAGAAGAAAAAAAAGCAACTAATTGAACTTTATTCTTTGCTTTATTCTTCGAGTTTTCAAATGATGACTCTCAAGGAGAAAAAAAAACCCAACCAAAGTGTTTTTCTCTTAAAAGATTTCAGTGTCAAGCTGTGTGCTAAGCCACAGCAATATACTAAAATAAACAAAACTATTTGTTTCAGAGTCCAGAGAAATTAATATGACCAAAAGTATTTTGGGAGGGCTCTTCTGAGCCATGAGTGAGATTTCCATGCAGCAAGTCTTAGTTTCCAAATGTTGGTAGGCCCATTAGGACCACACTACATTGCACTCACATTCCAGGGAGGGGCTATTAGAAGCATTTTGTTAGTGATAGCTGCAGCCCAAGGACTCCCCTTCTGTGGTGGGCTTGGTCTCTTGCATGAAGCCCTACTGAGGCTTCAGATTCCTATCTGACAGTCAGTCAGTCGGTAACATAAGAATGAACATACAACAGACTAATTGGAATCACAGAGCAAATGTTACAGGTTAGCCAGGTAGTGGGATTTCTGCTTTTTTTTTTTCTTTCTTTTTTTTCACCCTCTCCTTTTTTATTTTTTATTTTATTTTATTTTCATTATTTCCCTCTCCCCCATCACTCATTTGCTCCCTGGAGGCCACCAGTGGCAGCTGCAGGGGTTGGCAGGAGGGCAGAATAAGCCTTGCACAGGCTGCTGAACAACTGGAATCACCAGGTAACATGATGCTCTTCTCTAGCTTTTAATCAGACTGTGCAACTGCCCCCTGTAAACTGAAATGGGCTGGGCAACGCAATCTGTGGTAACTGCACAGAAGTCCACATCAGTTGATTTGTCCTCATCTCCTCCTCCTGCATAGTAAACACTGTGCAGAAAGAACCACTTAGGAATCCTCTAATTTGGAAAGAAGCAGGAGTGTATCAAAACATTCTTCGTGACTCTGGCTAAGACTCCCCTCTGCAGCACATAAGACACCAAGTTTTAACAAGTTAAATCTAAAATCAAACACATTTATCTCATGATGTGGCTCTTCCCTAACTTTTGTCCCCCACACAAAGCTGTGAGGGTCAGTCTGGGATATTTTCCCAATCCTTGACCAAAACTTGGATTCTCTCACATTTGGATGCTCTTTATCCTTGCTCTGCATACCATGCTGCAGCCTCTCTGCTCTTCTCTATCTGTCCCAGTCTCTTTCCTTATAAGCCACAAACAAACCATCCCTAGACTCCCTTCCCTATGAACCAAAACAAAATCACTGCTAAACTCCCTTCCCATCTTCTTTCTACAAGCCTCATCTCCTGTTCTGCACCTCAGCAATAGGCTTTACCTCTTTTTCTCCAAAAAGTCCTTCTGGGCATTTACTTTGCAGACCTTAACATCTCTAAATGCTGCTACCTCCAGATTTCAATCACCATCAGGCAAAGCAAATTACACAATACAGTAGCTGTAAGAAAGAGTACCTACAGAGGAAGCCCTAGCAATTGGAGGCACAGACACTCTGAAAGGCAAAACAATGCTGAAACAAGCTAAGAAGAGGTGTCCTCTGGCTTTAGCACCATAGATACTCAGATACTTCATGGCTGCCTTTTCCCACTTTAAGTCGATGGTCCTGGTTAATCTTCAAATTAGACAAATAGAGATTACCATGATAACCAATCATAGAAACATAAAATGCCAGTTTGGGTGGGGCCTCAAGGATCATCTGGTCCAACCTTTCTAAAGAATACTACTTATATGCTTATATGAGGTGGCTCAGCACTCTGTCAAGCTGAAAATTATCACCATCCAATCTGAGGGAGTCTACCACTTCCAATGTTTGACTGTCCTCATGGTGAAAAATTTACATCTTGTGTCCAATTGGAATTTCCCCAGAAGCAAGTTGTTCCCATTACCCCTTGTCTTTTCCATGTGACTCCTTGTAAATAGGGAGTCTCCAGCCACCCTTTAAGTACAGTAACATGGTAATAAGGTCTCCCCTAAGCTTTCTTTTCTCAAGGCTGAACAAACACAGTTTTCTCAGCCTCTCCATATATGGCAGGTCCTCCAGTACTCTGATCATCTTCGTGGCCCTTCTCTGGACCCTCTTCTGCATCCTTTTTGTATAGTGGGGACCAAGAAATAGCCCAAATAACACAGTGTTCAAAAACCGGAGAAATACTATGGCAGGGGATACATTACACAAGAATTTCCACAAGCTCAGAAATTGGACAAGGGAAAACTGAGGCACAAAAGGGAATGCTGTGAAGAGGAGGCATTGGGCAGGCTGGTGAAGGGCTGAAGGCAGTTGATATGTTCCTGTAGGAAGCCCTATATTACTCATGTGTTTTAGTTCACAAAAGCAACCAGAACTTTGGATCTTATTTGAAAAGTTAAAATTTCATGCATTGCCTCTTGCTGGCCTCTTAGTGCATTAAGGTCTTTTACAATTACTTGAAAGTTTTAACAGCTGTTTAGGAACCCTCAAAACACTCTTTGGACACACAAGTACACTTAACTCCATATAAAGTGACCTATGTAATTCAACCAAAACTTACAAATACTGAAACTAAAAGAATACTAACTGGAAATGGGATACACTATCTACTAGGTAATTCAAGTTAAAAATTCCTCCATCAGCATGCATATTTTATGAGAAATGCAGGAACATGATAAAGCTGGTAGTGATGACAAATAAATCCAGGGGCCCATCATGCTGCAGAGAAGAGAGCAAAAACTCTCCTTTTATTTTTCTTAAAGTAAATGCTCCTTTATAATCCACATCTCCCTGTAATGCATTTGAGCAAGTCTGCAGTCCACTTCAAAGATGATATAATTTTCCCAAGCCTCTCCCTTAAGAGGTGTGTGGTTTGTGTTATAGTTTACTTAAAAGCAGAGACTTGGAATCAAACCCTGGCACACACAGTTACACACTTTTGGAAATGTAATGCTGGTTTTTTTGTTGGTTTGGGGTTTTCATTTTTGTCAACTGTTTCAGCAGTCTTAAAAGCATGTCACAACTTATAGTGCCACCTAGTTTCTAACCAAAAGGTTACTACCAGGTAGTAAAGCTCAATCTGCTTTCACACAGTATCCTTTAGCATTTCAAGGAATAAAAAGGGAAAAAAAGGATTAATCACACTCACCCTTTTGTTGTTCTCTTCCTCTTGTGCCTTCCTAAACTCGTGCTCTAGGGAGCAATCGATGTCATTGAAGAGGCCAACTTCCTCACAGTTCTTCAGGAAGCGTGTTGGTGTAGGAGTCTGATCTGAGGATATGACATGAAACAGTCATTGGTATTTAATATCAAAAGGAGAGGGAGAAAATTTAACAATCTTCCAGGAAAAGAGAGGTCCTAGTTAACCTCTCCACACTTTCCCACCCTTACCACACCATCATTAAAAACAAACCACCTAGCACTGTGCTTGGACACTGTGCACTGCAGGTCAGCAGTGTCTGAAAACAGGCAGCAGTCACTATTCAACCAGAAAGACAGCAGGCTGGGTTTTCACAGGCCAAGTAACACAGGTGCACATCCTTAACGTGTGCAAATGGTCTTTACAACTGCCTGTAAACCTCCAATAACAGATGCATGCAAAACAATGAACAATGCACGACAATGCACATTTACACCATTGCATGCAGGTAACTGCTGCAGATACATACTAGTTAATGCCTTCAAGTACCTGAAAACCACTTCAAACATACACATACTTTGCAACACACATGAAGTTTGCCATGGCAAGAAGTTTTAATACAATTTTTAAAGGAGAAACAAAATGACATTAAGAAAAACTGTGAAATGTTAAACTTTGACCTCAAAGAAGCATCCTTATGTGTTTTATACCTGTAAGTTTTGGTAATACATACAAAACCATGGCATTTGAAGTCAAAAGATTTTTTTAACATGTGTCTTCATCTCTAGAAATTTTTTGTCCTCTCAAAAATAATTGAGGGAAGGACAGAATTCTCTTTGATGTCATAGGCAGGACAGACTTAAGAAGATACAAGGTTTTCAGCCTTCCTTTCAAAAACCTGCAAGACACATGAGCTTGATTGCCCCATGGACTGTTGTTTCAGTGATGACCTTGCGTAGTCTTTCCCCAAAAATCAGCTTTGAGGTAGCTCCATTCATTGTAAGGCAAGTTCTTAACTACTCCACCTCAGCTTCCCCATCCCCCCAAAATGCAATACAGAACTGTATTAGCAAAAGCAGAGGAGAACCCATATGGTCCTATCAACTTTACATACATTTTAAAATAAATAAATAATCTCTTGCAAGTTAGTTTCTTCTTCCCTAGCCCCCATTCCAGCTCTGCTTTGTACTACCTAATGTCATCGTAAGATTTTATTCACTCTCTTAAAAAATCACCTTCTGCAGAGTCATTGACAAATATCCTACTATTTGAAATTAATTCTTTAAAGAATGAAAACTGCCATACTAATCCCAGTTGTCCACATTGGGCCAATTCTGATCTCAGAGAAAAGCTTCCTGATTCACTGAGTTCTGGAAGAAAAATTTGGTTTCTTGCACTTAGCTAAGCTGGGTCAAATTCTAGTATTTCCCCCTTTCAGGGAACAGCTACCAGACAAAATGAACTTACATGATCAGCATAGAAATACACAGCCAGCCCTAAACAAAAGGCAGTATAAAAGGAATGAATACAAAACCAAATACAGTTTCTACTTGGAAACTAAGGAGGAGGATCAGCCTCTTCCATTAAAAAAACAACTGAAGCCAATTTCCACCTATATCATGTGCAGTCCTACAGGCTTTACCTTCTCCAGTAATTTAAGGGCAAACACACTTGCATTTGTATTTCTGATGGAACACATTGATGTAACATGAAAAGAAAGTCCTTAAGTTAAAATGCTGCTTTATTTCTTTTGGCTTGAGCATCATACTTGTGTGAGCTTAAAGGAAACAAAACTTAAATGTTTGGGAATGGACACATATTTATCTATTAGTTTTCACAGCTAACTACTGTATTACCAAGCCAGAAACATAAGACTTCCCAAGAATCTTGCAAGAACTCAGCACAAGGAGCAGAGTCAGTGAGGTGCTGACATTGATGGGAGCTGAGGACACTCAGCACTTTATAGATCCATATCCTAAACAAATAGTGCCAAACAAATCTCTAGGGTAACCCCACTGAACTCAGTGGATTTACACCAGAGTTGTCTTTGGCCCTTGAACTGGAATTTGTACTGGAAATTAAATGCACTAGAAAGCAGGAGAAGTAGATTTTGTTTCCCAAAAGGATTAAATATTACTTCAGTAAACAACACAATTGCTTTGTAGAAAAACATAAAAAATTGTTGCCAAGCCTTCCCGGACATAAAGGGCATGTTAGTATTTGAATGTGAGGCAAACACAGGAAAAGTTTTCTTTTTGGAAGTAGTATATCCATAACAAATAAGGAAGATACCAATTTCATGACCAAGACGAGAAACTAGGATTTTAAAAAGAAGTTGACAGCACCACTTCCACTAAAATAAAATTAAAAAAAAATCCTGTTTGTTTCAGAGCTGCTTGAGCCCAGAACTTGGGGGGTAGGGCTTAAGAGCATATACTAACATAGATAAGGTCTTGTTATTTTTCACCACGATACACAGCTGATCCAGAAATCAGGCATTACTACAAGAAGCTCAGTTAGGTCAGAGGCAACTCAGTGGGTAACAAGGTGGTGATCAGGCATGTGTAGCTGAGGTTCCTGATCTGTTCAGCATCTATACCATGAATGCTAGACAGACACAAAAATGTTCTCTCAGTGAACTAAGTCTATTTTAACAGAGAAAACCCAGAGCAAGAATGGGATTTCAAATGGACAGAGGCCTCATTGGTTTTTCTCTGCACATGCTGAAATTGTAACTTCAGCACCACAGGCAGTCTGAGATAATCATGTGTTCTGTTGCCTACAGTTGATCTTCCCAATTAACTAGTTCATTATCTTAAGCATCAAAGCTAATAGATTAATGACACTGTTTACACCACCTACATATTGACAGAGTGATCTTAAATTACTACCTCAGTCTCTCCATACAGTTACTGCAGTTTCTACTGTCCTGAAACCAGACTGGCAAGAATTCAATACAAGATTTTGTTAAAACAGACAGCCCCTCTCTCCTTCCAGGCAGGAGGGGGAAGCAGGGAACACCACCAGCCACCCAGCCTAAATTCCATGCACAGACCTTCTGGAAGCCAGTTTAGGCAGATGTAAACCAAGGGCTGCCTTTCTATCTTACAGTACTTCATCATCCTTCCACACTCAAACTAGGCAATACATATTTTGTTCATCCTATTACTCAGGCTGAGTATTACTCTGAGGACACAGGCATGGCCAGAAGGGCTGCAAGAAACATTAAGTTTAAATAAACCCCAAAAACGTAACTGGATTTACATAAAAACCCCAGAGCAAAATTTAAGGGTCTCCCTCATGCAGATTCCAAGTCAGCCTGCAGCATCTTATAGGAGAGATTTCAGAAGGACTCACCAATCAGATCCTGACCAGAACCTGCTACACTGCAGACCATTTTGAAAACCTGTCCTCACTGTCTCAAGGCATACCTGATTCTGCAGACTAGTTGAAAAATATATGCTATAAGGCAAAGGGAATTTTTAAGCCTTCAGTAGAGATTCCATTATATATTTGTTATGTTTGGCTATGCAAATTTTGTTCTTGTTGTTTGGTTTTGGTGTTTTTTGGTAATTACTGAAATAATAGTCTGAGAAAGGACACTCAGTCTCAATACATTGCTTTCAAAACAACAGCGCATTTGTTTGCTATATAGAGAGTTTATTTTGTCAAACTACCTTAGCTTCTAGAGTTTCATCCCTCAATGAACAAATGAAAACTTTAAAGCATGACATCAGTTAAGAAAAAATTGGAGAACCAAAGGACAGTTATGTGAAACAAGCTTTCATTTTGAAAAAGAAAAAAAAACAGATTCGGTAAGAGATATCTAGCAGTACAGCTCCAAAGTGTGTAACTTGATTCTTCATCTTTCTTAAAAAAAAATTTAAAAAAAACATTTTAAATGTTTAGTCTGATGTGCAGTCATAACAGGCATTTGGCTTGTTCAGCTGTGGGCTCTGGTGAAGTTATATACTTACCCATGTGATACTTTCACAAAATGATAACAAAGTCACAGTAATAGGGCTGGCTCTGCACTTTGAAGGGCTGCCCATCAAGCAGCCACACGGAAAGAGGAATGTCCTGAGAAATTCAAGAATGTATCTTCATTGATTTGGCAGGTTACTTCCCAAGCATACCAAGAAGCTCAAGGTTATGACAACTTGAGCATGGGATGGAGGAGAAAGAAGAAGTGCACCCAGCCATACCTGGAACTGCCCTCACCCAGGGGGCTCATAGACAAGGGCTCCCAGGAACTTTACTGCTTAAAGAGTCACTGTTTAAAGTGCCACTTGGACTTCCTGTGAGGGTACAACACATCTATAATCTCCTCTGCTCACTCAGAACCCAACCAGTTGAATTTTAGAAAATTTTTCATTTCATCATTTGATGAAGTAAGGAATACAGAAGTGAACAAGAAATCATTCAAAATGTATTTCCTTGCATCTAATTATTTTGCTGTCCACAAAATCCATGTGTAGATAAACCTTCTAGTGTAGGCCACATGGAGAAAAAAATTAAGCCAGCCACAGATGCCAGAAGTTACCTCACTGACATTTGGGAAAAGTAATGCATTTGTACTACCTGAGCACATACTGGTTTTCATCTAGAGGAGAGGCTCTGTTTCTATCTCCACAGTGGGCTTTACCTCCGAAATTCTAGAGGATTGGATTTCAGTAAATAGAATCTGGAAGAAACAAGGTTTCTTCATTATATTATTATATGGATGATCCTGGCCTCTCCTCTATGTGCTAGCAACACTTCTGGAATGACTTCCACTGCTCCAGCTATGGCAGAGTGTTACTCCTTCCCTTCCCAAATTTGATACTACAGGAATCTCAGTGTCCCCAGCTCCCAAAGCCAGCTCCACAGTATTTTTAGTACTTATCTGGAGGGAAAAACCTGTCCCATGGACATTAATATTTTGGTGTTAAAACCACAAAAGCTTTTGACACACAACAAACCTACAGTTTTAAAGCAATGCAGTGTTTAGTTAGCACAACAGAAGGGATGACACCTTGTTTAGTTAAACTAACTACAGAGTTTCCTGCAACGATGACTAGCATGCAAAACTTACACAAGATATTCTGTGTTATCTCAAACAGCTCTTTTTTGGCTAAGAAAGATGAAAATGGAAACCATCAATGACTCATAATCCATACTCACAACAAGGCTTTCTAACAAACATAATTAAAATACAGACACAAAAAAAGGAACAAAAACCATTACAGTCTTTTTAAATGAATGTCATATTTTCCAACAAAAGCACCAGTTGCATTTTCATGCCATGCCTTCAGCAAACCTCCCTTCCATTTATACAGTCAGAGAATATAAAGCTATTTAGTGTATCAGTGTACCTCGTGCTTCTGAACTAGTTCAGGAGTCACTGAATTTAATAAGACTTTTCTTCAGCCAGCATCAATAATTTCAAGGAAATATAGAGAAGCTGGTTGATAACCAGGAAGCTCTGACTAGACATGCCTACTAAACCAGCATAGCATCAATAATGTTGAGCAGGTCACAGAGCCTTGTTCATTAAACACTGACCCCACCTACATAACAAGATGTAACATAACTTTACCTCTCACTTACAAATTAGTATGTCAGAAGTCAGCTCAGATTTCGCATGAGAAAATTTGCTACTTCCCAAGTAATACTTCGCTTATTTTGTAAGGTGTTGTATTGGTCAAAAAGCAACAGTCCCTGTTTTAGTGCCTACCTCCAAAAATAATTTATAGAAGATATGCTTAGTATATGTTAAATATTACTGGTATTATACTGAACCCAGACCAAGTATTAGCTATCTCTGGAAACACAGTAGATAATACTAATGGCTACCTGAAAGCATACAGCCCATTATTGGGCATGATTAATTACTAATAATGAAAAGACTAAAATACAACACATTAAAAAGCAGTATACAACCTGCTGGAAAACAGAAGAAAGTCTGACTACCTAGGCATCTTAATGAAAAGAGGAGAAAAAAAACAACTACACACTAACACTGCACCTGGCTTATTACAGGGCAATTGCTGCTGAAATTCTTGGAACATACTGATGACAGAAACAATTAAAAAAAAAAAAGTCGGATAAGTAAAAAAGCAAAAACAAAACCAAGAAGGAAGACAAGAAGACAAATGTTTAAGGGAAAAGGCTGCATCTTTTCCCCATATATCATTAATTTTTCATTATGAAATCTAAGAATAAAACATCTTTAACTTTAAGGTATTTAGATTTCCCCGGGGTTTAGGTGGGTAATGAAACAACTATTTTTCAATGTCTCCCTGCAGAGAGTAGATGATCTATGATGCTTCCAAACGAAGGATTGAAAAACGCCAAATAAATCCACCAAACAAACACAAAAAGAAAAATCATATACAGCAGAACCAGGATGCAGACCATTGTGGTCAGGCACATTTGCTGCAGTCTTTGAGAACGTGCAGCTTTTTACACTTTCATTACTACAAAGGACCATCGTCCAAAAAATGCAAAGAATACATCCCTCAGAAGCAATCTTAGAGCCTTTCTGGCCACAGAATTCTGCATTTCTATGTACTTAATTGGCTAGCAAAAGGTTTAGGGGCCCCACTACTGGTGGTAGTGGCAGAAGCCAATCAGAGCATTTTGCTTTGGAAAACAACCCACTGGAAGGAGCAAGACAGCTATCTCATGGAAGTTACCACACATAAATGGAGCTACTATACTCAGGGGACTCCTGATGGTAGAATATGCTCCTTAGAAACTGCCCTTGAGCAGTAGTCTTGCCAAACAGAAAGTTCTAACAAAAACCTGCACTTTCACAGAGTGAATGTGCTCACAGTACAGATGTCTTCGAGCAGTTTCACTGCCAGAGGACATGGCCAAGTGCAAGAGCAGCATTTTCACATTCGTGCTTGGAAACACAGGATCCTGCAGGCACAGCTGGCATGCAGGCATTTTACTCTTCAACGTGATGTGTAGTGCTCCTTTCTAAACTTAGTCCATCATGGCATTTTTAAGTGTAAGAGGAAAATAAATTTTTTTTGGGACAGTGTCTAATTGATTTCTCACTGGTGCCTGAAGTCCAACAAAAAAAAAAATGAAGCCTAAACCAAATATTTGCAAGCTACCCAATTTTGATTTTCATAAAAATGGAAACCGTTTATCCATAAAAGAGGTAGTCTGCTGGAGACCCTTTAATCATTCTATATTTGCACCTAAAATGGCACAATTTACCTTGAAGAAGCCCATTTCAAAAGACAAATATCAAACACTGGTTAACATCCACACTTACATTTGCATCATAGGGTTTTTTTCCTGCAATTACTTTGTAACCTGAAAAATCACAGAATCATAGAATAAATAATAAAATGCTTAAGGTTGGAAGGCACCTTGAAGATCACCAAGTTCCAGCCTCCCTGCTATAAGCACAGACACCTCCCACTAGACCAGGTTGCACAAAACATCATCCAATCTGGTCTTCAACACCTTCAGGGAGGGGACACGAACAACCTTCTTGGGCAATCTATTCCATGTCTTACTACCCTCATGGTGAAGAATTTCTTCCTAATATCTAACCTACATCTCTTTCAGTTTAAAACCTTGTCCTATCACTGCTCTCTCTGGTAAAAAGCCCCTCCCCAGTTTTCCCATAGGCCCTTTCAGGCACTGAAAGGCCTATAAGTTCCCCCCAGAGCCTTCTCTTCTCTAGGCTGAACCACCCCAACTCTCTCAACCTGTGTTCACAGCACTAAATCCCAGTGATACTACTCCTAATAAGCAATTACTATAGCCCAAAGGATATAGAATAGCAAAGGGAACAGGAAAGGAGAAAACGTGTAAGATTAAGGCTGGCTTGGCCTTACCCAGCACTCACTGAATGCCAGCAAGCCACTTAAGTGTGGTTACTGAGACAAGAGTATGAAAAAACAACATCAAAAACTAAAGGTTGTAATTGCACGTAATACCAAAGAATCTTTGTGTATGGCAGAGAAAGTCTAAAGAGAAATGGTTACCTTTAGGGGGAAAAGAGTCCTAGATATTACCCACCAGTTTACCTTTCTGCTCATGGCTATTTACAGTGGGCAGGTCTTGAGCCACCATAAAAGTGGCTCATACAAGGTGGCCTGTTACAGTTGCTGAAGTGAGCCTGTCAAAGTTAAATAGTGAGTCTTATAGGAACAGCACAAATGCACTTCATTAACACACTAGCTGCTGGGCTCCCAGGTGACATGCGCTGTAAGTGCCTGTATTTCACCAGCATGTTGACACGAGAGCCAGGGAGAGAGCTGCCAGCATGGCTGAAGTTCAACTCCTTCTTGTGCCAAACCTGTGGGAAGGCATAAGAATGGCAACTGTCTTTTTGTTTAAAGATATGCATTATAGCTTCTTCCATCTCTACTTGTTATTTAATTGGAGCTGGGGCTTTTAAAAACCTATCTTGGAGGTATTTTGCCAGTAGCTTTCCAGCAGGAGTCATGCTTTCAACATCACCTGAATAGTTATCTTGACTCTTGAATTCATGTCTTCTTACCTGATAACATATTATCTGTTTTTATTGAAGGAAACTTCAAAGTCATTTCATGTTTGTGCCTGTGAATCATCAGATGATCCTCTGTTGGAAAACGCTGTCAGGCAAACAGAGAGAGAGGAAGAGAGAGAGAAAAAAAAAAAAAAAAGGAAAAAAAAAGAAAAAAAAAGAAGAATTTAATTCTCTAATAAACTTTTGGCATCAGACAGAATTTCAAAAATGAGAGAAAGAAATGCATCCAGCTAGAAATGTGTCCAAATGGCACAGGAAATAGAATATTTGAAAATGCAAGTGAGCATGAGTAACAAATAGCTGTACTCTACTTTGAAACTTATTTGCTGCAGTGCTCCCTGGGGTTGCAAACCACAAGGTGTCATGAATTTACTTGAAAAAGTTGCAGACAAGTTTTGATTCTAAGGGTCTCCAACACCCACTCCAGCTACCACAGCCCCACAAGTCACCACGTGCCTGAGGATCTGCAATAACTGCTGTTGTATGTGCTATTAGCCCACGGCAAACACAAGTAATGCAGCATATCTTAAATCACTTTACTGGATTTTTTTCTGCTTTTGTGTCTTTCTGCAATCTGTATCTGCTAAGCAGCAATAAAAACAATCAAATAAGACAGCCTTTCCCT